GTCTTCGACGAAACCATTGGAGAAGCCGTTGTTGACTAGAACCTGCCTTACCCTACAGAGTTCTTCGTCGACTTGCTTCCATTCTGAGCTGTGGCTGAGAGCACGGGCGACATATGCGTTAACAACACTCCTCTTGAACCTGTCAGGGCAGTCGCTGTTGGCATTTAGGCACATTCCTATGTTTGTTTCCTTAGTGTAGACTGCAGTGTGGAAACCTCCGCCCTTTTCCATGACTGTTACATCTAGAAAGGGCAGCTTCCCATCCTTTTCCATCTCGTAAGTGAAACGCAGCACGGAACTCTGCTCAAATGCCTCCTTCAGCTCCTGCAGATGTCTGACATCAGGTACCTGTGTAAAAATGTCGTCAACATACCTGCAGTATATGGCCGGTTTCAAGTTCATGTCGACTAAGACTTTTTGCTCGATGGTACCCATATAGAAGACGGTATGTTGACGACATTTTTACACAGGTACCTGATGTCAGACATCTGCAGGAGCTGAAGGAGGCATTTGAGCAGAGTTCCGTGCTGCGTTTCACTTACGAGATGGAAAAGGATGGGAAGCTGCCCTTTCTAGATGTAACAGTCATGGAAAAGGGCGGAGGTTTCCACACTGCAGTCTACACTAAGGAAACAAACATAGGAATGTGCCTAAATGCCAACAGCGACTGCCCTGACAGGTACAAGAGGAGTGTTGTTAACGCATATGTCGACCGTGCTCTCAGCCACAGCTCAGAATGGAAGCAAGTCGACGAAGAACTCTGTAGGGTAAGGCAGGTCCTAGTCAATAACGGCTTCTCCAATGGTTTCGTCGAAGACATCATAAGAAGGAAAGTGAAAAGCCATGCAACCTCTGAAGAGACAACTAACACAACACCTATACCCCCTATTAGACTATTTTACAGGAACTTCTTTTCCACAGCTCATAAAACGGAGGAAAGGGTCCTGAAAGATATTGTTAATAGAAACGTTATCCCTACAGACAAAAATCAGAGGATACAACTGACGATTTACTATAAAACCAGAAAAACGGCCAGCCTACTCATGAGAAACTCTCCAGACACAAAACAGAACGCTTTAAAAGAGACTAACGTTGTCTATGCCTTCAAATGCCCACTTGGGGACTGTAAGCTCCAAAAAACCCAGTATATAGGCAAGACAACAACATCTCTTTCTAGGCGTTTAACGATGCATAAGCAACAGGGCTCCATTAAGGAACATATAATCTCTTCCCACAACCAAACCATCGCCAGAGAAATCCTAGTAAACAACACAGAAATCATCGATAGATACAGCGATAGCAGGCGGCTTGACGTTTGCGAGGCACTACACATCAAGAAGTCAACACCAGCAATCAACAGCCAATTATTGCACAACTATATTCTACCCACCTCAAGACTCCGCTCCAATATAGAAGCATCAAGAAATATGGACCAATAGGCTTTCTACAAACACTTCTATTCAATACCCATTGTTTGTGTTCTGTCTTGTGTTGATACTTTTAATACCCTATTAATATCCCCTCTTGTTGTGTCTTGTGTTAATGCCACATCACCCCTCCCACCTCACTCAAATGTAGATATAAAATCGGAGATACGTAAGTTCTATTCAGTTGTGTATTTGTGAACTAAAGTCTTTGAAAATGTAATAAGTTTTACGAAACGCGCCCGTGTCGCGTCAGACTAGAAATAAAAATGAATTTTGGAGAATTAATTTTTGATTTACCTCCAACAGTGAAGCGTAATGTACGAAAGATTGAGAAAATTCGTGTTAGAATTATTAATCTTACTTTTTCGGTCATATTTAATAATATATGTCTACAGGAAAGACTGCTACCAAAATATACTAATATATATATATATATATATATATATATATATATATATATATATATATATATATATATATATATATATATATATATATATATATATATATATATATATATATATATATATATATGACAACTACATCAGATGAAACATTTGTATAATACATAATTATATAATAAATAATTATACATAAGATAAGGACCAAGGAATAATTACATGGGTTGAGTCACTGCCTCATGTCCTAACCGGAATTATCCTATCTATCTAACATTACTGGCCGGGAATGACTTAAATAAGATTATGGAAAGACACTTCCCTTGTTTAGATGATGTTTATTATTATTAACATCTTTATTGACAAAATTAATTACAATTTTGCCTAATCTGAGGATTTCAATTAAGTCTTATTAAAGTGAGGATAATGCTGGTATTCACTGTCACGCAGGACAGAGGGTCATACATAAGGCACAACCCGTTCTCGACTCCAGTCCATTACATCCAGCGGTCGCCCCCACAGACGCATTCATAAATTTTAACATGCTGTTCATTCAAAACAAGAATTTTCTCAAATATAAATTAATATTATAATATATTAGCATATTGTGCATATATAGGCATAGGTTAGGTTAGGTTAGGTGTTTAGGTTCGGTTGGCGATTATTTGCATTTGTAGTACGTGGGTGAAGCATTTATAGCGTTGTGGTTCGAACAAAACTCGTCAGTGAAGCACTTGTTCCGGAAGTGTTCGAACGAAATCAGTTGTGAGTCGTGTGTAAACCGCTTTTCATTCATAAACAGGGGGTTTGGCGGGTGTATGGAATCACTTTTGGATCTTTGTTTGGAGGACGGGCTGATAAGGCAATAGGTCTAAACTGGCATATATATATTATGGTTACAATCAATGTTTTTATGTATGAATATGTGAAAACAGTTTAGATGATGACTGCATGTTGATGATGGAAGAAGCACTAATTTGATCTCCATAACACTTCGTCTAAGGGAGAATTATGGGACCTGAACTCGCTCCAGCGACCTGGTCTAGCAACAATGGGTGACTCTTTCCCATTACTCATGCCCTGGCTCTTTGTCCAGATGTCAATAAATAATAGAAAGGTCACATTTACTCTGTTTTGGTACTGGTAATTAAGTTAATTCAATTGAGCTGTTTTTATGATGTTAAAAGTCCAAAGACTGCTGTATTAAGAATAATTCCCAGCAGAATAGCTGGCAAATTTAATAGCGACGTGGCAATGATATCCCGTTTTCGATTGACAGAAAATTCCACTACCGGCTACATTTTCTATGGGTTAACTTTTGTATACAACCCAGCAACAATATTATACGCTTATTGTATTTAATATTAGTAAATGGTGTCGGGTTTTCCGACAAGCATTGTTCCCTGTAATGACTATGTATATTTTATTTATATATATTGCTTTATAAACAAGAAGGTACATTGGGTTTGTGAGAGTACATAACATTGGTGTTCTTACATTCTTACAAAGCCACTAACAGACATAACGTTTCGGGCAGGTCCTTAATCTAACAGATAAGTTTATTAAGAGGTGCACTATAGCAAAATTTAAGTTAACATAATAACGACAAAGTAAATTGATGAGAATTATTACACTGGGGAATTTGCATGTCCTGAGTACTAATATTGGGGGAGAGGGTAGCACAAGATACAGTGTGAGTTTGAAGCACAAGGTGGGGAAACCATGAGGATGAAATGAAGTACTTTTTGGTTTTACTTTTGAATAAGCCATAGGTTGGACAATTTTTTTAATTCATCAGGGAGGGAGTTCCATAGACTGGGTCCTTTTATTTGCATGGAGTATTTGCACAGATTTAGTTTGAGTCTGGGGATATCAAAGCTAAATGGATTTCTGGTGTGGTGCTCATGGGTTCTATTACATCTATCAAGTAAGAGTTTCAGATAAAAATTAGCATTTAGGAACAAGGTTTTGTACCTGTAAATAGCACAAGAGAATGTGTGGTGGGAGTGTATGTTTAGCATGTTAAGGGACCTAAATAGAGGGGCTGTGTGTTGTCTGAAGACAGAGTTTATTATAGTTCTGATTTTTGTTGAGTGATGATGGGCTTGAGTCAATGTACAGTGATTGAACCCCGTGCACAGATAACGCATGTAAGAAAGGGGTAGATTAGCGAGTAGTACAATAAGAGAAGAGCAGAGTGGTAAACATAATATTTTAAACACTTTTTTAGATAGTTAAATGGACGTTAAAGGATATTAAGAACTACCTTCTTGCTATCTATATACAAATTACTAAACGCACAAGCTGACTTGTTCTGTTGTGCCTTCGGTGCTTGGCTGAGAACAGCCCCTTATATGAATATGTTGTTCGACTGCATGTCTTCTACGCTCAAGTGTTCGACTGCATGTCTTCTACACTCAAGTGTTCGACTGCATGTCTTCTACATTCAAGTGTTCGACTGCATGTCTTCTACGCTCAAGTGTTCGACTGCAAGTCTTCTACACTCAAGTGTTCGACTGCATGTCTTCTACGCTCAAGTGTTCGACTGCATGTCTTCTACATTCAAGTGTTCGACTGCATGTCTTCTACACTCAAGTGTTCGACTGCATGTCTTCTACACTCAAGTGTTCGACTGCATGTCTTCTACACTCAAGTGTTCGACTGCATGTCTTCTACATTCAAGTGTTCGACTGCATGTCTTCTACGCTCAAGTGTTCGACTGCAGGTCTTCTACACTCAAGTGTTCGACTGCATGTCTTCTACACTCAAGTGTACGACTGCATGTCTTCTATGCTCAAGTGTTCGACTGCATGTCTTCTACACTCAAGTGTCGCTAGACGAGTCTTAGGGAGCAGCACGAAGATCAGAGTGACTCACAGCATCCTTTTTCTGCTGGCACACAGTCACGGCGCTTATCACCAACGTCATCCTCTTAACACATTCTTTGAAGGATGTATATAATAATATTTTGTGTGTGATTTCGGAGAGACATTATTGACCTAATTTCCTTAAGAATATTATTATTACGATAATTACAATATTCCTTAAAGAGAAAGTTAACACAAATTAAGGTAGAGTATTATTAACCGCAGTAAAACGATACTATACTGAAAAGGCTCTTTTACTTTTTTAATAGTTTGACGTAAAATCGTTTTATATAGCAAGTTTCCCAGGGAAGAAATGTCACAGTGTTCGTAGTACATTGGCGTCAGAGTAGGGAGTCTGGTCCCGGGCAAGATAGCAAGACATCCTCCTCCGGTCCCCCACGACCAGTCACAGTACGGGTGCGGCGCCGGCCAGACTGGTCGCCAGTTGTTGTGTGTTTGTGTCGTACAACTGTTGTGATTTACCGTGTGACACAGCCAACAAAGTCCTTCTAATACTCCAGTGCCTTCATCTTCATTCTCAATATCAGGTAAAACTATATATTTTGGTGTTTTATGCATCACACCCCCTCTTCCCCCCTCCCTCTCTCTCTCTTCTCTCTATTTTCTTTTTAAACTAAGACTAGGGATCATAAGGGCTGTTAAATGACGTACCTAGTGAAACTGCAAGCAAGGGCTGTTATCCTACCTCAGATCATCTGAAGCCTGGTCTTAGAAACTCACTTTATTTCACAACAACCACAGCAGGACGACGAGTGTTCACAAAACTGTGTGTGAGATCGCCAACAATGGTAATGGAGCCCCTGATATTGGCAGACAGTGACAGTCAGACAGATGATTGATTGACTCCTCATATCTGCATGTTGTTTGAGAAGGCAGCTGTGTTTGGTGGCAGCCCTCGTAGTTGGTGTGCTGCTGTGGAAATCTGCTGTGCTGAGTAAGGCACAGCGCCACCTGTAGCGCTTTGGTATTGATAGTAAGGGTGCTGGCGAGTAGGAGTGTGCACAAAGTCTTAATATTTCTTAAATTGATCCAAGATAAGGTCTCGAAACATTTGTTCCTGTCTATCCGGATCCCTTTTGGTTCGACATGTGTTCTCTTGACGGCTTCTTCGGCGGCAGTGATTGCATCTGAGATCACTCCAACAGGTTTTAGCCGTATGCCACTGCGAATGCATTTAGAGCAAGGCCTTACTATGAGGCTGGGAAGTTAACTGCCAGAGCTAAGCTGCCGGTTCAAGAGTTGAGACCTGTGCTGAGTGTGCTGTTAGTGTTGAAGTTGTTCAGGGCCTTGTTGAGGTTGGTGATGCAGTGCCTGGTTATAGTTACGCTGTGGCTGAGGGTATGGAGGCCGAGAACGCTGGTTAGGGCGGACCCGCCTACGTCCACTTCCTCAAGGCCTATTCTGGCTGGTAGAGTTTTGATTCGATCCTTGTACAGGTGCTGTGGGCACCGCTTGATTGACAGCTGTAGATGTCGGTATCTGTGTGTATGAAGTGGCAGGAGTGGACGTCTCACTGGGTGTTACTGCGGAGCGTTTCCTCAGTTGGTGTGACAGAAAGTGTTGGCTGCGACAAAGATGTATCTGGAAGACCTGTAGAAGGATTTGCAGACAGACTCTCTGTCTGTCTGTCTGTCTCTCTCTGTCTCACTCTCTCTCTCTCTCTCTCTCTAAACCATGAACATGCACGGATAAACGCCGACATTAAGTATCAAAATTACTGAAAACATCCTGAAAATCGCATGGTTTCGCTACAGATGCCGACGTTTTTAAACGTATGGCCTTTGGGCCGACCCCGACTGAATTATGACACACCCATATCTTTTGGGTGTTGGGATCTTGTGTTAGGCTAGCCCGGAGCGTCAGGCCTACTGCTTTAGACAGACGAACAGACAGAGAGACATTCCATTTTATTGATATGGATATTTAACACGGATATTTTAACACCCAGCACCTATTATGTCCAGATAACATAATAGATGCTGGGTTGGTGAATTGTTTCAAGCGTAGGTTAAACATATGAGTGAGTGTGCCTGTTATGTATAAGCGTAGCAACGCATGATGCAGTGTTCACTATTCTGTGGCTTCAAGCTCAACAAGCCACAGTGTAGGACAGAAAACAGGAAATACTATTTTCACCCATAGGGTTATAAGCCAGTGGAACCGCCTACCCACTGAAGCCGTATGTCAAGACATTGCTACAGTTCAAAATTCAACAGAATAAAATCATTTGAAATATTAGGTGGAACCTTTGACCACTTGCCGGTTTCTTGTCCCCGTCGAAGCAACTAAGGTTAATTCAGGCAACATTCTAATATTCTTACGATCATACCTGAAGCAAAAATTAATAAAACTAGAAAAACTCAACAGGACGCAACGCGCTCTTGTGAGGGGCGAGGCTCAGTGACGCAACACGCTCCTGTTGTGAGGGGCGAGGCTCAGTGACGCAACACGCTCCTGTTGTGAGGGGCGAGGCTCAGTGACGCAACACGCTCCTGTTGTGAGGGGCGAGGCTCAGTGACGCAACACGCTCCTGTTATGAGGGGCGAGGCTCAGTGACGCAACGTGCTCCTGTTATGAGGGGCGAGGCACAGTGACGCAACGTGCTCCTGTTATGAGGGGCGAGGCTCAGTGACGCAACGTGCTCCTGTTGTGAGGAGCGAGGCACAGTGACGCAACACGCTCCTATTATGAGGAGCGAGGCACAGTGACGCAACGCCAATAATGAAATGTTCTCTATGGCAGATCAAAGATATCTGAGATCACTTGCTCAGTGATAACAGAAACAGGTCAATAAACTAATAATGATACATATAAGGGTTGCACGTTATTTATATATGTCTGTACTACAGAGACATATATATTCAGGTCGCTCAATCCCATACGTCAGGCTGCGAGCAGCCGCGTCCAACAGCCTGGTTGATGAGTCCGGCAACCAGGAGGCCTGGTCGATGACCGGGCCGCGGGGACGCTAAGCCCCGGAAGCACCTCAAGGTAACTTCAAGGTAATCCCCGACCGTCCAAGTGGTTGGGTACCATTCCTTTCCCTCCGTCCCATCCCAAATCCTTATCCTGACCCATCCAAGGGCTATATAGTTGCAATGGCTTGGCGCTTTCCCCTGATAGTTCCTTCCTTCCTTCTACTACAGAATAGTTGATTGATTAGCGTTTAACAAGGAGGAAGTTATTTAATTAACATATATATAAATTTAAGACAAACTTCTGGGGCCGGACGATGTATTTTGGAGGTTTCTAAAGAAATAGTTTTTTTGGCGCAGTGGTAATGCACTCGCCCCACGCTTCGTCAGCGAGTGGGCCTAGGTTCGTATCCTGGCCGGGAAGGATTGACTAGGCGCCAATCCTTAACTGTATGCCTCTGTTTACCCAGCAGTTATTAGGTATCTGGTTGTTAAACGGTTGGCAGGTCGTCTTCCAGCGAAACTAGTGGGAAAGGCTTACATGAGCTAAGGGAAGGGAAAGGTCTCCGCCTGTAGCTCTCAGCCAGCTAACAGGCGTCAACAGTCGTCTGTTCCTGTATCCACCTGTGTAAACTGTTCCTGTATCCTCCTGTGTAAACTGTTCCTGTATCCACCTGTGTAAACTGTTCCTGTATCCACCTGTGTAAACTGTTCCTATATCAGCCTGTGTAAACTGTTCCTGTATCCACATATGTAAACTTTTCCTGTCTCCACATGTGTAAACAAAACATTGTACAATGAACTATAAACTTGTCATGGAAGTTTAATAAATCATTAGAATCAAAGTTTCTAGTCTTGGTGGGTATTGAATATGAATAACAATTTCTGGCTAATCAGTTTAATGTTTGTTGTGGGAATACTGCATGAATCGGGTATTGGAAATGCCATTCTCACACATGCTGAAATTCACCATTTAATAAAATTGAACAGTGCAGGTTTATTAAAGTCTGGTTACGTAAAAGGTCGGCGTTCAATCCCCGACCGTCCAATAAGTGGCTGGGCACCATTCCCTTCTCCACGTCCCATCCCAAATCCTTATCCTGATCCCTTTCCAGTGCTATGTAGTCCCATTGGCTTGGCGCTTTATCCTGATAGTTCCCTCCATTGCTCTTCACAATGCTCATAATAGGCTCCGACCTGCAATCATTGATAGCCGAGCATTGTGTTATCTCAGATGCCTTACAACTAGTTATACTTACAAATGGCTGCTTTATACTTACAAATGGCTGCTTGTAAACCTACAAATGGCTGTTTTAAACTTACAATTGCCGCTTTAAAACTTACAAATGGCTGCTTTAAACTTACAAATGGCTACTTTAAACTTACAAATGGCTGCTTTAAACTTACAAATGGCTGCTTTAAACTTACAAATGGCTGCTTTAAACTTACAAATGGCTCATTTAAACATAGAAATGGCTGCTTTAAACTTATGAATAGCTGCTTTAAACTCACTTGATACTGCAACTGTAGACTGGCATCAGCTGGACGCCAACATTAGAGTTGGTGTTACAATGAACACAACTGTGATGACGCAGTCAGACACCGGAAGACTTACTAAAGAACAACGTCCAGCACGCAAAGATGATATTCTCACTTCCCGTGAAAAAGTAACTGTGGAAAAATAGCTTTTTATAAATTGGTTAGGATTCTTTTAGTAAGATTATATTAATTACTTGGCTAGTGGGTTAGTAAATTATTTACACAACACAATAATGGGTCAGTAAATTAAGTATTTACACAACACAATAATGGGTTAGTAAATTAGGCATTTATGCAACATAATAATGGGTTAGTAAATTAGGCATTTATGCAACACAATAATGGGTCAGTAAATTAAGTATTTACACAACATAATAATGGGTTAGTAAATTATTTACACAACACAATAACGTAGCCACAGGTCGGGTCAAGAAAGTACACTCTCATCAGTACCTGCGAGAACGGGTTGATTAATTCACACAAGAACCTCCTGCTCCTCCTCATAATTAATAACCATTAACGAGGTAGTCACACAAAACTCTGCCTGAGCAAAGTCGTTGAACAGAGTGAAACAATTATACTGCACTGACCCTATACATATAGATGTACTAACACTAGCAATAATAATAATGAAAATAATGAATAACATGAAAATACAAATATTATGCCAACAGTTATCAAATACAGAGTACAGTGGGTTGGTTGTAATCATGCACACACTACACTGTACACTGTACACACTGCACTGCACTGTGTAGTGCACTATATAGCACTTGGAAGGGATCGGGGGGGGGAGGTATGGTGCCCAATCACTTGGACGGTCGGGGATTGAACGCCGACCTGCATGAAGCGAGACCGTCGCTCTACCGTCCACCCCATGTGGTTGGGAACACTGTGTGTGAGCCAAACATTATTTATATAAATGACATCTAATTTTATCTTCTCGGTTATACTTTTGTAAGAATAAGAATGTAAACACAATGATAACTGATGGGCACACACATGAAGGAAATATATCAATCAATTAATATCATGTAATCACTGATAATTGTACATACTTAGCTCCTTGATAA